TTCAATTGTTAATGTTGATTTTTCTTTTAAATCACTTACGTGGCTATACTGAATTTTGGGTGGGTGATGAAAAGTTAATCTGTATTAGACAAGCTTCTTTAACCTGGCAGGTAAATGAATGCATTATTAATGCAATCGCATGGATTTCCTGAATCGGCATGCTTTATAATAGAAGCATTTAATTTTTTCCTAAGTTTTGTTATCCAGCCTTGTATAAAAACATTCTGTTTGGTTGCACCAATCACATTCTATTAGAAATATAACACGATCTGACTGTGTGGCATTTGGGTGGATAATATGACAAAAATTGTTTCTTTTATGGAAAAAAATGTAACCAAAACAAACACAAGAATGAGCATTACAAAAATCGTGACGTGCTGAGAGAAAAGCCCCACAAATAGAAAATTATAAAGGTCAGGATCTGTTACTCAGGTCTTGTTTGCAAGTAAAAATACCATGCTAACCTGTGGCTGTCAAAAACCTAAGCGAGCCAGACAGACTTCTGACAAATAATTTGGACAGTTCTCATAAGCTGAAAAGTGCCTTTTTTTGCCTGTCTTGTCTTTTGAAATGTTTCCCTCCTGCTTACAGATGTGCAGAGAGAAAGGGAGTTAACAGAGACACTAAAACAACAGGGTGCTGTTAAAAATAACCTGTACCAAGCAGTGTCTTTTGTGCAGTCTCTGGGGAATGCATTAACTGTCAGTGGCCTAACTTACTAACTAACCTTCCTGAATTTGCAATATACAAAATGATTTGCTTCTCTTTTGCAAACATTTTTCTTCATACATTATTGAGCAAATTAAGAGATGTTCCCTGTTGTTTTCATGTCTTTGGCAGAATTTCATTGTAGTCTAAAGAAGACTTTGGTGAAGGTAAGCAGAATGAAGAGCTGAATACTTCATAGAGCCGAAAATGCATCCTCTTCTGCAATTCTTTTATAAAAGAAAAAAAAATATTTTTTTTTTTTTTTTTTAATTTTCAGCAATGAAAAAGAGAAACATGGTGAATGACAGGAAAATATCCTGGTTTTGGTAGAAGTGTCGTGGCAAAGTTTCTTGCCATGATATTTTATCTTCAAAGACAGAATATTTGACCAGAAAGACAGACCTTAAAATACCCAGTGCTTAGGGCACTGCAGAGTATGGACTCTGTTTGCATGAGAATGGGGATGGTAACCTAAATCACCTATATCTTGGAAAAAAAAAAATCGAAGCTTTATCATTTTCGAGTTGAACCTCTTGTTTTCTTGGCCAGTCTTAGGAAGCATCGCTGCAGGTGTGCGCAGTGTACTGTGTAGCTGGACAACACTGAGATTCAAATGAGAACTGAGCTTGTTCAGTGAACTACTTGTGTACCGAAGCAAAGGAAATACATACTTATCTGGTTTGTGTTAATCAGACTGCGCCTTTGACATAAGGCCATGATATTATCTTTACGTTATCATTGTCATCCTGCTGCAAAATCTTTGAACCCTTCTGCATACAAAAGGGCCTAAGGGCTGCAAAAATACTATCCAGCTTCCTACCAAGAATTGCTATCCTGTATAAATAGGATCTTGCACTTTAAAGCTGGCAGACCTTAGCCTTAAGGAAACTATATTTTTCAATTGAAATATATCCATATTCTCATTTGCTTACACGAAGCCTGTTCAGTGGGGAATTATCTTGTTAAGGTCTAATCGTATACGGTGTATGTGTGGTGTAAATATATGGCCATTTAAAATTCAAATACAGAATGTGGAGGTCATTGTAGGAAACTTCTGTGCCTCAGCAAGTGTGAATGAATTACCAGGCTGCTTTCATTCTTTCCTCACTGTTCACATTACTATTTGCAGCTGGGAGCTATGCCATAAGTTACCTTTATATTAGCATTGAAAATTCCAAGGCTTTAAAAACAAAATATTTCTTCTTCTTCTTTTACTCCCAGTTTTATTGGTAGGCTGTAAAAACATACAATGTGTCTGTTGATGTGCTGGTTGAGATGTTAGGAATTTGGTAAGCTAAAATGCGTTCGGTGTGGCGCGGTTCGGAAAAAGAGAACCCGTGGATTTACGGGTCCCTGACCTCTGTGGTGTGAATGGTTATTTTTGTGCCGCCCATTCGACTTGTGCCAGGTGACTGTGGTGCCGGGATGGGTGGAGAGGACCCTGCTCTGCTGCAAGGCTGCCTGGCTGGGGATTTTAGCAGAGAAGCTGCTATATCTGTGGGGAGCTGTAGGCGTAGGTAAAGCAAGCGGCTGCTCAGGAGAGGAAGGTGCTGGGGGTGGCAAAGCAGCTGCAGCCCTGCCCTGCCTCCCTGCCTGCCCTTCCTCTTTGCCTCCTCTGCCTCCCTGCCTGCCTCAGGGGTCCGGGAAGCAGCTCTGTGGCTGCTGCTGGGGGTGGCGCTCCCAAGTCTCAGGTGGCAAAACTGGCATCTCTCAGGAGCTCCGATTTCCACCCGCCCTTCCCCTCGTGCGCAGCAGACCGAGCTCTCTAGGGGTACCTGTCTTTAGCTCTTTGCCTTCTTTTTCCTTTGGCAGGAAGAGCAAAACCCACTCCAGGTCTTGGTGCCTCATCCTTGGGGTAGCCAAATTCAGGTTTGCTGGCCGTGCTGAGGTGCCTTGCTCTGAACACGTTGGTCCCGGCAGCAGCTCCGGCAATAGGGGCGCAGGGGATACCCCGTCCCTTCCCGAGACATCTCCCCTGCCCCTTCCCCTTGCTCCTGGGCAACGCTCCTGGGGAGGGCCCTTCACCTGGACGTACACGTGGAAGAGTTTTAAAACTCTTTCAAAAGATTTGAAAGTAAGATTTTACTGTAGTAACTTATCTCCTGGTGGTGAGGTCATTCTCCAGGGGGGTAGGAAACATTGGGTATTGCAGCTAATTGAGTATTGTAGGTAAGCTACTGGATAAAAAACGTCACAAGTTCCTGAGCTTTGGTGGTAAAATCTACACACTCCTTTCAAATTCCCAGCTCTGCTCCTGTTGAGGAATGGATATTGCTCAAGGGAACTCTTTGGTCTGTCTCAAAGGGAGGTGGTTTATTCCTTCTACAAAGACTGTGAATGCTTTACCAACAGCGTAAGCAGCTGTAGCTCTGCGTCGCTGGTTACTCCACTTGGCTTTTTCTCTTCGCTTGATTCCTGTTCGGCACTGCAATCTCCACCTGGTTCACCAGTGACATGAATTTCTGTGTAAGCTTATTGACAGTGCAAGCTCCTTTTTGGTAAAAGAAAGGGGAAGTGTAAGTCTGGCTTGGTAACATGTTTAGATAAGTTCACGTGACAGCTGTACCTGCTGGTACCAACATCAATTTTTCCCCCCTTCACCCTGAAAATTTCAAATGCTCCTGATTTTGCTTTCATGTTGTCTGTATGCAATACTTTACGCTAAGGGTAAGACACAGGCAAGCATGCAAAATTGATGTTTTCACTTCTTGCCAGATTTTCTAACTAAAAAAGATTTCCTCCTGGCAGTTCCATCTCCAGATATTACCACCCCATCTTCTAAAATTGTAAGAGCCCCTGTATATTTGATATCTTGTGGACTCACACCAGGTTTCAAAGGGAGATTATATTTGCTGGGCAGGTTGTCGATAGAACATAAAATATGAATGAAATTGTAATTTTATGGCAGACACCGTAGCTGTAACTGTCACAAGTACCCTGTATCCTCAATAGCCAAATGAAAAAAAACAGTCTCTAAAAACATTTGATTGACTTTTTTTTCCAGTTAAGCCAGGAAAAAATCCTCAAAATTATGAACATGGTGAAAAATAAAGAAGTGAGCATCGAAGGAGCTTTACATTTGGCACAGAAAGAGGTGTATGCTGAAAAGGTAAGTTCACTCCTTTGATCTATTTTGCAAGACATTCAAATGTATGAGCATGTTCTGGAAAGCCTGGTTGAGCATTAGGAACATGTCTGTATTGCTTTCAAAGATACAGTCCCATCTTGTGCAAACATACACTCCGGTTTATAACCGAATATGTCAGGTACTAATGGTTAAGGCTACCTGTACCCTAGGTAATGGATAACCCATGTAGATGCTGCAGCTACACTGGTGTCCTTACCTGTACTAATGAAGTTTAAATCTAGATCAGATATATCCATATGAGTTTCATTATTGTGAGTGCAGCATCAGGTACTGTAACAATAGACGTAGGCCAAAATCATTGGGCTGATACCATGAAGCACCTCAGGAAAATGATGGATCTAATCCCCTAGTGGTGGGTCATCCTTGGGGCATTACTGGTCACCATAAGAGGGTCTGACAACTCAGAATATGGTTGGCTCTGATGTTCCACTGGGCAAAAATAGAATCAGTGTACAGGTGGCTTAAAGCTGTCTTTGGGTCCTACAACAACATAGCTTTGCTGAGCATAGGTCAACGGGACCAAGAGGTCTAGTCCAGATATTTCTTCAGGATCAGATTCAGACACAAAAATTTCATTTTCCTGCTGTGAAAGCCCTCATCTCTTCACTGATAACCATCTTCCATTTTATAGAAAGCATGGCAGTTCTTTCCTGAGAAAAACAGAAGTTCATAATAATGAGTGGAATCATTTTGAGAATGAGAAGTGCATTAATTGCGTAAATTAGTACATGAGCCTTGTACTCCTCTCTGTAATCCCTGTCCAGTATCTCTCATTGCAATCTCTGCCCATCATCACCAGAGAAGTGCCAGCAGAGAATTCTTTGGAGAAACTTTCACTATCTATTTCCCCTTCTGCTCTGGATTTTTGAACCAGCCTCCCTATGGGAGCATCTCCAGGAAACAGTGAAATCTTATGAAGTGTTAATGACACAATCTGAAATTTTTTTGCACTGCAGGAGCTGATAGGGATTTTGAGATAAACCTGGTGCTTTTTGGAATTTTTAAAAATAACTTTCTGAACTGCTTATTAACTTCTTGGCTGGAAAGAAGTAGAAGGGGAAGCAAACATAAAAACTAATAAAAGAGCAGCGCAAGTTTTGCAGAAGGGCTGCAGTCAACAAAAATTAAACTCAGCAGTGTAAGACAACGTGGAAATATATTCTTAGAATAAGAAGGGAAAGGGTTTCTTTTCTACTTCTGCTGCATTAAAGCTTTTGTGATAGCTAATTATTAGAACTAAATCAAATTTAATATAGCTGGATCATGACCTTCTCTTCCCTATATTTTCCTGAAGACTGTAAAAGTAGTCATTTTCCATGCACACAGTATAGCTGCTGTAAGGGGCCAGATAACAAATTGTATACCCTCATATAATATGAAGGAACAAAGATCTTTCATTTTACTGCACTGCATTCAAGGGTCTGTAAATATTTTTCTTTGAAGTCACAGATGATTCTTGTTTGCTACTTAGCCCCTATAATAGACTGCTTGTATTCATGTGTTTAGCAATGTGTTTAGTACAATTCCATGGGCTCTGCTCTTGTCCTTCCTGTCTTCCCGCTTTCTGCTCTCCCTTCCACCTTCCATCCCAATCTGCGATCCCTTTGTTAGATCAGC